TCAGCCGAGCCAGCACGCAGCTGGCAGCCAGCAGCAGCTGCTCCCCAGCACCCAGGAGCCAGCCCACCACCCAGCCGAGCAAAGGGTCCCTGAGCAACGCAGCACAAATAAATGGCATCAAGCTCAGAGCCGTGCTCCTTCGGTGCTCCTTTTACTTCAGACCTTGTGCCTGGTGTTTGTCAGCTGGCTCTGTGCCCGTGGGGCTCATCTAACCTTTAAAGAAATGTGGATTGAAGTCTTTTAAGATGAAATTCAAGCTACCTAACCATCACGTTGGTGCTTGGCATGTTCCTAAACTGTCGCCCCAAATTAAACCTCTGTTCGTAAAGTCATTTTATGAGGCTTCTTCCTCACACTTCATGTGTGAATCAGAGACATTTGCTTTGCTAGCACTTCAAGGGTGTGCTGACCTTTCAGTCCTGAGAGGAAAATCTTGATAAAATCACTAATTAATGACTGACTTTGAATCACTTGTCCCAGATAGGAGGATAAACAAAGAAGCTGAAGGTCTGGCTATTAGACAGGAAAGAAAGGTTTTTCTTTGTAGAGCAGGCTTGGCTGTTAAAATACCTAAAATGGTGGTAATTGATTTATATTCAATTATTTGAGTGCACAGAAGCAATTATGGCTAATCCTTAAAGCCTAGTTGAACTGTGAAGCGTTACTATGCTAAAAAAGATTCCGTGTTAGTTACCTGCTGATGAGAAATGGTGGCAGGAGGATGGAATTTCACTTTTATTCATAATTGACACCAAATTTTGCCTATCTTTGCTTTTTGTATATTGAGAACAAAAGACGTGTTTACTCCAGAGCTAACGAATTTAGCTGATGAACCAATGACAGGGAACTGGATCTGAAAGAAGGGAGGAGATTTGACCACACTCTTCCAACACTGACTGGTAATATTCAAACAAGATTTGCCCTGCTCAACTCAGTCATCCAGGCTGTTTGTATAACCAGAGGGAACAGCATGGAGCTGTGACAGGGGAGGGCAGCTGGGGGTGAGGGAAAGGGTCTGCACCAGAGGGTGGTGGGCATGGAACAGCCTGCCCAGGGCTGTGGGCACGGCCCTGAGCTGCTGGAGCTCAGGAAGCGTTGTGACAGTGCTGTCAGACATTGGGTCTGGGATTGGAATGGTCCTGTGTGCAGCCAGCAGTTGGACTCAATGATCCATGAGATATTCTATGATTATGTTTCAAGAAAAGAACATCCAGATCACTTATAAGTTGAACATATAACAGACATGGGAGGGGAAGGAGTTGTTCCAATGGATGCCATACCAAGGGAGGTTCCAGGACTCAAGGCCAACCTGAAGCATTATCTCAGCTACATTACAGACCAGAACGCGTCCAGCACAGGCTCAAGTTCTTCACCATCAGGTCTGGACGTCTGCTTGCAGAAAGGGCCATGTCCACTACATATCAATATTGCAGGGATCAAGAGGATCAGTTCATACAAACTCGTTCTTTACCTCGTAACAGCATATTAAGATCACAGTTAAGGAAATGTGGAAGACAACACAACCTGGGCCACCGGCTTCTGTGCTGCCATCCTTCATTCCAGACCGCTTCAGAAAGGATTCTTTACATTTGAAAAATGTCTTGGCAACATCAAATCAAAGATTAATTTAGCTGCTGTGCAGGCACATGTGTGGCTTAATAAATGGTCCTGTAACTTTTATAAAGGTGAGCAAAATTATGCTTCTCTTCTACTCAAAAAAACAACAACAACAACAACAACCCAGCAGTATTCCCTAGCTAAAGCTAATTGTTAAGTATTCTCTTCTTGTCATCTTGTAACTCAGTCCAGCACACAAACTAATATTCTTAGCTGAGCTTTGGCTGGCAGCGCTGAGTCAAATGACCTCCAGCTCACTTCAAACATCTCTGTGAAGATGGATGTGGGCAACGACCACAGGCAGGAGCCCACAGAGGTGCAGTTCCCCTCAGTGCACACTGCTAAGGGACGGCACCTATGGCAAGAGGCAGCACAGCAAATGGGGACAGTCACCTCTTCATCTGCCGCAGCAGCATGTGCCAGAATTTGTTCAGCCGAGCCCACAGACTGAATAACAATTAGCTAAGACTAAAGCAGTCTTAAACAACCAACAAGAGACACCCTGGCACATGAAACATGCACTAACAGGAGCACCAGAGCCCGTTGGTACAAAGTTGGAATCCTGCCCTCCAGTGCAGTGACATTCTCAGCCCCTACTTCAGAAAATCAGACTTGTAGGCATTAACAATTCCTGTATCCACCTTTGTTGCTTGCACATCAATACAGAGCTACTTTTTCTCTCTTGCTGCCAATAATTGCAGAATGACCTTCAGTTTTTGCACCACTGACAAATGCAGTTTATTGACAAAGACAGAAAGCAAGCAGACTTTACAATAAACTTATGTTCTTTACTAACCTTGTTTGACAACTACATCAACTCATCAAAGATGAGAATGTCCAGAGAAGAGCAGCAAAGCTGTGAGGGGTCTGGAGCACGAGTCTTATAGGGAGCAGCTGAGGGAACTGGGACTTTTCAGGCTGGAGAAGAAGAGGTTCAGGGCAGAAGTGATAGTTCTCTACGTGCCCTGAAAGGAGGTTGGGTGTTGGCCTCTGCTCTCAGCTAACAGTGACAGGACAAGAGGGAGTGGCCTTGAGTTGTGCCAGGGGAGGTTCAAGTCGGTTATTGGTAACATTTCTTCTCAGACAGAGTGGTGAGGCATTGGCACAGGGTGCCCAGAGGGGTGGTGGAGTCACCATCCATGGAGGTGTTCAAGAACTGTGGAGATGTGGCACTGAGGGATGTGGTCAGTGGCATGGCGGGGATGGGCTGTTGGTTGGATTAGCTGATCTCAGTGGTTTGTTCCAACCTTAATGATTCTAGGACTTGTTATCAAGGATCGTAATGTATTAGAGCAATCCTAAACTCAGGTCATTCAAACTTAGCGAGCCCATGCAAACAATAAGAGAATCCTTCTGTTTTCTTGAAGGTGCTTTGAACAAGCAAGCTGTTTAAGTAACAAAATACTGAGCTGCAGCAGTAGCTATTCACTGTGAACCCTTTGTCATTTATCAATAAAACACCATCGAAGACAGGTAAGCTTCCTCACTAAAAAGTGAACAAGGGGCTGGGATGTGCGGTGCACAGAGCAGAGGGCAATGCTTCCCAGGGCTGGCAGAGAGCCTCTGTTTGGCCTCAGCTGCAGGCAAACTGCTGGGAGCAGCCCAACTCCATCGCAGGCACTCCTCAGTGCATCCTCTGGCAGAAATGCAGCAGTGCTTCAAAGGACACTGACTTTTTTTTTTTTCCCAGCATAAGGTCTGATAATCTGAAAATCCCCATTTAAGAACTGTTATGACTCCTGGAGCTGCAACTTCTGACAAGTCCACAAAGAGGAACCCCTCTGCGTGATTCTAAGCTGACCCAGCCCACTGACAGCCTTCTCCCACTGCTTTGAGACAAGATCTGACCCAAGAAGGATGATGCTCTCCTTCAGGGCACCCCAGGTCTCTGGACTATCAGCAGAGCACCTGAAAGCAAGAAGCACCTTCAGGTCAAATCTCTCCTTCATAGAGTCATAGAATCATTTGAGCTGGAAGAGACCCCCAAAAGCCATCTAGTCCAACTCCTCTGCAGTGAGCAGGGACACCTACAGCTCCATCTGTTTGCTACTTAAAATAAAAGGGTGAGTGAGGCCTGTGGGGAACTGAAGCATTCAGGTTTGCAGCCTCCACGCAGCAGATCCCTGAGGCTGCTCCTGAAGACCTCCATTAGATATTTTTTCGAGCAATATTCCACTGAAATCTGCAAGGCAGCCGACAGACAAGGACGTCACAAGGTCTTCAGGATGAGATCCCTGATAAACACACATCGCCCAGCTCAGGTGATAGAGCTGGGCACTGAGGTCTGTTAGTGCAACCATCGAGCTCACACGCTCCCAGCAGCACCCACCCATGCTACAAATTCACATGCTTGAAGCAGTGACTGAACAACAACAAAACCTCTCCAACAAAAACCACCCCACAGCTGCCCTTGTGTGGCCAAAGCGCTGTTACCCATAAGCCGTGCTTGGACTACATGCAGACTCACACAACCTCCCAAGGCAGCTGTGCCAAAGCGAGGGCAGCAACACGGAGCTCACAGGGCAGGATGCTGCCCAGCACCCAAAGCAGTGGCCACGCAGGATTAATCTCATTTGCAGCCACCTTGGTTGGACCAGCAGCCCACTGCTGTGCACACACACACACTGTGAAGCTTAAATTAACTTGAGAAGCATATTTCTTTTACAGAGTGCAGCTCGGCCCAGCAATTGGACACAGGAGCAATGCGTTCATCCATCGTGGTTCATCTCCATAGAGTTGCACAACACCTTGGCAAACATAAGGTGGAAAGAGGCGGTTTAAGTTACATCTACCTTACAGTTCTTGCTGTTTAAAAGTAAGATTAAGGCAATTTCAGAAACAAATCATCTCACGATTTACTGCTGGATCCTGACCCTAAGTCTCCTAAGGCTTAAATCCAGCTGGATGAACGAGAAGAAAAAAGGCTTTACTCTTCACCTAACTTTTAAAAGTGAGAAGGCAACACGAGGACTTATCAGCGCCAAAGGGAAACCTCAGGCTTATCCGTATGTGAATCCCGTTTCAAAAACAAACAGGGCTCGGGGCTGGCGGGGAGCCAAGCTGCAAGACTGCCTTTTAAGACCCGCATCTCAATGGGAGACCTCAGAGCATTCTGATCTGTTTTCATAACTGTAACCATTTCCAACCCCGGGCTTTCTAGCATATTAGCATTCCCTTCTTTCAAGCAAGTTAAAGCAACAGCCGGTACAAATGAAGGCAAAACAAGCACGGGGCGCTGTGGATAAAATACAGCGTTTCAAAAGATTTAGGAAAGACAATAAGCACCGCCCGTCTTAACTGCTGCCAAGAAACCCTTACAGAGACGGGGAATCGGTGAAAAAAACACTGCAACGCTGCATTTCGACAGCACTAAGAAGCACGGCTCTTAGATCTACTGCGTAGCTTTATTTTTACAGGACCTATCATAGACTCTTTTACATAACTTAAACGATTATCAAATAATCTCCTGTACACAATGAGAGCGAGCCGCGTTTCTTTCCGAGCTTTGACACATTCCTGAAAGACATCCAGCCGTCTGCAGGGATGGCACAGCCGTGGTACGCTTCTGTCCACAACCGACGCTGTCACTTAAATTCTGCTCGCGCGATCCTGCGAGACACCGTCAGATTTCAGCCCACCCCACATTGCGGCAGCGGCGTTTGTGTCGGTTCGCTTTTGCTTCCTTCTCGCTCCGCTTTGTGTCCTCGGCTGCAAATCCAGCGGGGCCGCCCGCAAGGCTGGGGATGGCGCCCAGCACGGCACGGAGGTCGACTCGAGTTTTACTTCCTAACCGAACTCGTTTACAAGCGGTCGCGATGTCACTTCGGACGCGTCCGTCGCGTCCCGTCCGCCTACTGGCACGCAGCCCTACCGCACGCTAACGCTCGCTAGAAAAACACCTGAAGGAATCGGACGGGCCGGTTGTACGGGAGCGACGCGGCCGAAGGAGGAGCACGAAGACGCCCCCGACGCCGGTGCCCTTCCAGCGGGAGCCGGGGCCGCTTCTGGGGGTCCGCCAGCCCCGCCCCTGCCCGAGGCGGGCGAGCCCAGCTCTCCTCGCCGCCCCGCGGGTCCCGGCCGCGGCCCCGCGCCGCTCCCTCGCCCTTCCTTCGTCCCCCGCGGCCGGCCCCGCCCTACAGCCCGGTGTAGGCCGCCCGGTGGAAGCCGCCGCCGTACTCGTAGGGCATCTGCGGGGCGGGCAGGGGGCACTCGGGGAAGAAGGGCCCGAAGGCGTCGCCGCCGACGGCCGGCTCCGGATACAGCGGGCGCAGCGCCTCGGCCGGCGCCTTCTTGGCGGGGCTGCAGGGCCCAGGCGGGCTCCAGGGCGGCTCGGGGTACGGCAGCCCGCCCAGCAGCGGGTGCGGAGCGGCGGGCAGCGGCGCGGCCTCGTACAGCCCGTGCTCCAGCCCCAGCTCGGCGGGCGGGCGGGCGGCGGGGAAGGCGTCCTGCGGCGGGGCCGCGTGCTCGGGCAGCAGCGCGCCGTAGTCGGGGCCCAGCAGCTCGAAGAACTCGGCCGCCTCTGGCCCGCCTCCCTTCTCCGTCTCCTTGGCGCCCGGCTCGGTGAAGAAGGAGGGCGGCAGGTTGCGGTCCCGCAGCGGCACCTTCCGCGGGCCGCCTCCCGCCGCTCCTCCGCCGTCCGAGCCCGCCGAGCCCCGGCCAGGCTGCAGGGAGCCGAAGAGGGCGGCCAGGCTGCGGCTCTGCAGGCTGCTGCCCGCCTGCGAACCCTCCCGGCGCGGCGGCGGCGGCGGTTTGGGGCAGGCGGGGGGCGGCGGGGCGGCGGGCGGCGGGGCGATGATACCGGTGCAGCGCTTGATCTGCTTCTGCAGGTATTTCCTGTGGTTCACCTTCCGCTTGGATTTCACCGGCTTGTCCAGCGCCAGCTTGATGTTGCTGGAGGCAGAGTCGATAAAGCTCAGCAGGTCCCGGGTGGCTTCCTTAAAGTCCCCCGCCTCGCCGCCGCCTCCTCCTCCTCCCTCGTAGCCCTTCTCCAGGTCGGCATAGCCCAGCAGGCCGCCGGCGGGGAAGCAGAAGGAGAGGAGGTGGTGCGGGCTGAGCAGCGCGGCGGGCACGGCCATGGCCGGCGGCGGGGCGCCGCGGCGCCGAGCTCCGCAGGGCTGCACCGGGACCGGGGCGGCGGAGGCGGCGGCGGTGGGGAAAAAGCGGCGGGCGGGAGAGGAGGAGGGACCAGCGCGGGGCCGGGCGCGGGCATCCCCGCCTCCAGCCGACAGCGAGGGGCCGGGCTGGCGGGGACGGCGCTGGGGGCGGGTGGGTCGTGGCCCGGAGAGGCAGGTGCGCGGGCCTCCGCGACGCTGCGCCCCAAAAATCGAGGCGCCGCACCGGCTGGCTGCCTCGGAGCACGTGTGCACGTCAACCTGGACCAAAGCGGTGCGGTCCCTGCACAGGAAGGCTACAAAGATGGGGAAGGGTCTGAGGGCGAGGAGTGTGAGGAGCTGCTGGTGTGCTCAGCCCAGAGCAGAGCAGGCTGAGGGGAGGCCTGATGGCGGCTGCAGCTCCTCACAGGGAGCGGAGGGCAGCGCTGAGCTCTGCTCTGTGTGACAGCGACAGGGCCCGAGGGAACGGCATGGAGCTGTGACAGGGGAGGGCGGCTGGGGGTGAGGGAAAGGGTCTGTATGGGTTTGTATGTCCACATATGAATAAAGAGGCATATCTGGTTTTGACTGAAATGGATTTCCTTCATCTGCACCGATTCATTAGAAACGCAGCAGAATGGAAAAGCCAGAAAGCAAAAGTGTGGAAGAAAAGGGCAGCAGGCTCCTTCCTCAGACTGTGCTTAGTGGGAAAAAGGAAAGTCCAGCCAAATTCACCCACTGTGGTTTTCAGCACTGGTTGAATGCAGAACTAACAAGTATTGGAGTGAGAAAAGAGGAAAGCACATATTTCATGTGACAAAAAAAAGGCTCAGCATTCTCCACAAAACCAAAGTGCTGATTTTCTCAGTGTCTCACGCAGCACCTCACTGCAGCAGCTTGCTCACAGCAAGTTTCAGCACAGAATTGGAACACTCAGATTGTTCCCAAGGGTGCATTTCCAACCTGGTTTGGCTGCAGCCAAAATCTCTGCATGGAGAGGATCGATCCCCGTTTCAGAGGACAAGCTATGGGAAACGTATATCTCTCCACATAAGAATGGCAACATAAGAGGTGGATTTAAACCGCTTAGCTCGAGTACAGCCGACACGGATTAGCTACCCTCGGGTCCGTCAAGCCCTGTCAAGCTTTGCAGCCTGCTCTGAGCTCCCTCAATGATGGGGAAATGTAAAGAACAACATACACATCCCCTGCATTCTCCGCTGGGCAGCTTTGAGACCGTTTGAAATTGCACTGGAGCCTGGAAAATAGGACATCACTATCTGCCCAGCTCGGGGCCATTCCTAATCTGGCCAGCGTCACCCAGCATCTGAACTGTCCTCAGGTTGGGAGCTGCTTCGGCATTACTGCAGCAGTATTTCATAGCAGCCCTAAAGGGGCTTGCTAATGAGGCGGGGTGGCATTGTATGCAGAGTGGCTAAATATCCGGTGGCTCAGAGAAAGAAGCTGAAAGCCCTGGCTTGTCTTCTGTAAGGCTGAATTCATTCAATTAAACAGCTTTGAGAGCTCAGAGATGGCTTAGTGGGAAACTTTATTACCTCCGAAAAATTGGAGAGCATTAAAACAATTGTCAGGCATGCAAAGCAAAGTTTGCATTCAGTCATGCTAGGCGGCCAAATTTACATATTCTAGACCAGGTCTGGAGCTTTAGAAAGCCTTCATAATTGCATTAAACATGCTTATTCTCCATGTTCTCTCAAGCAGAGCTGATTACCTCAAGTTGGGCAGCGCCTGGAGGGAAATTTGCTAAGCCACATGATGTAACAACTTGCACAGAGATCTCATTTCTTCCAAGGAAGTAGCGGTTTGGTTATTCCCACAAAACACCTCTCGTGCCCAGTGGCCAGGCGAGCCAAAGATCGTCTTCTGCTTGCACTTGCTCAGCCTAAGCACGGCAGCAAGCACTGATCTGCAAGCTGGGATCAAACATGGAGGTACTTGGGGAAGATGTCCTGGTGCCTCCAGGCCACTCTGAAAATTAAACCAGGGTTGTGCAGGTAGCAGAGCTGGCTTTTTCCAGCAGCACACTGACAGCCCAAGCTTAAGGGGGGGCAGGGATGCACGGTGCCTGCTGGCACAGCAGATCCAGCTCCTTGCCACACAGCCGGCCTCTGGTGAGGAAACAGTTTGTTACCCCTGCGGGCTGAGCAGGCCAGGAAAGGTTGCCTTGGGCAGAGCAAAGTAGTAAGCCTTGCCCAGCTTTACAGTGTCAGCTGCAAGCACTTGCAGAAGCCCTCTCGATGCTTGTGGAGTCCTGACCCAGGGATGGGCAGTAGAATCCAACCCACAGGAAACATCCCATGCCAAGAACATGAGCAAGAAGCATCCCAAGCTTCATCCCATTACCACCAAACCTCCTCTGATAGAAGGCAAACCAAGCCCCCACGCTCCAGCACTCCTTTTCCTCTCACCGCAGCATCAGGAAGACAGCATGAAAGCAGGAACATCTTTGCAGGAGGGAAGGGAGGATTCTTTTTTTTTCGTGCCCCCTTATACAGACCGATGAAGGTATGGTAAAGTCTCACTGCCCAAACAGGTGTCACTGTCCAAAACTTACTGTCTCACTTCCTGATCCTGTCGTAATCTGCGAGTTGGTTGTGCAAGTTGATTTCTTGCACATTCTTATATCAGTGGGAATTTCTGCCCTTCCCTGACAAGTATTATAGGCAGCCTTTGACATACAGCCCTACAGGACCTAAATAGGCTGCTATTCTTTCCCTACACTGAAAGGGAGCTTTGTGCCAGGGATTCATTAAACTGCACTGCACAGCCCTTCATAAATGGGCTCAATAATGAACAGTCGATTTAACTGGAAAAGCTGCTGGAGCTGTTAAATTAAAGGGAAATAAAGTGCACTTCAGGCTCAGTCTGCCAGAAGAAAATGTTGACCTAAAAAAATCTTCATTTCACCGAATCTCTGCAAACAGGATAAAATCTTCAAGAAGTTTATGCTGACAATTCAGAGAAATGTTAAAAGACAACAATTTACTTCTTTGCTAATAAAGACAGAAAAACTGATGATAAAATCTTCAGTAAAATCAGAAGTGAGGTTGAAGGGCATATTCCACAGAAGCCAGGCAGAGTGACTGTATCTACCTAAATTCAGTGTATGTGCACAGATACAAGGTGCTGTGGCTTACCCGGTCCCTATCTGCCTGAAATCACTACATATTATAGAAGCTTTCTAAGGTGCTCTTTTATTCAAATGAACTTATTATCAGACATGGGAATGCAGACTTAGCACCCTGCAGATGAAGCCCTGTTTCCCTCTTGCAGCCTCTGGATTCCCTTGCCACAGTTTCCCATTCCTTCCCTTCACCTCGCTGTGTTTTTCATGTTCTTCTGGAATATATTCCTCCCTGAATACAGTGGGATTTTTCTGGTCCAATCCCACATAGCCCAGTTCTGGGATCATGTGATGTGTAAGACATCTTGGTGGTTCTGCCCATGTAAGGAGTGCAGGACTCAGACAAAACATGGCCCACATGTTCTAGTCGTCCTGGATGCTTAGAATGGTCCGTCGCTCAGCTGGGCCTGACTCACCTCCTGGCTTTATGGGTGGAATTCCCTATTTCAGTCAGGCAGCTGGGGTTGCTTAGTGGTGAATCAGCTCTTCCATCAGAGCCATCTCATCCTCCCTCACCTGAACAGTCCTAGGCATTGTTCCACAGCTGTGTTACACACCTTATCTACGATCTCATGGGAAGAGAGGTTGTTCTCTAGAGATAATCAAAACCCACCTGGACGCTTCCCTGTGCGACCCACTGTAAGGAAGCAGGGAAGTTGGACTGGGTGGTTTCTAAAGGTCCCTTCCAGCCCCTACAATTCTGTGCTTCTATGATTCTGTGATAATTGTGAAGGTGATAGAAGCAAGCTTTCGCTGAAGTTACCTTTAGTAGATTCAATATTTTTTCATACATTTGAAAACATGAGCATTCAGGAAGAGAATTTGCTACAAGGTATCAGTCTTCTACTAAATTTTGCATAATTACCCATGGGACCTCGTGGCTCCCTGAGAGGTTCTGCTAGAAGGTGCTGTGTGGTTTTGGGGAGGAGAGATGCTCCTTGAAGCTTACTTAACACAATAGGCGAGGATTGAGGAAATGATGCAAAAACAGTCTTCATTTATTTCCAAGGGGTCACTGAAACTGAAGGCACACTCCCAGTAAAGCCATTGCCATCGAGTGTCATTGAGTGAGTCAGTGAGAGTCCCAATCTCTTTGTCCTCCATTTGGGAATAACCAATTTTCTTGAACCATGCAACTCCATGCCAAAATCTTCCTATGATGTATGGCATCTTCTCTCTGTGTAGCTAGAATCTAATCAGAGCTTTTTCTTCGTCAGGGCTCAGCCCTTCTTCCCTCTCCAGCTTAAGAAAATGCTTCAACCATGCAGATGAGTCCCTAATTTGGAGGTGACCTCAGGTACTTGAGCCCATGGCGATGCTATCATAAATCTTTAGTCCTTTTTGTCTCTTAAGCAAACCTGGCACAGCCACAGCTCATTCAGTGCATCTGCAGAAATGTAGCTACCTCCAGCACCTCTGGAACTGCTCTGTTGCTTCCTTATGTGCTGGGCTCAGGTACTGAAATGGTGGTATTTACTAAAGAAAACTTTTTTTTTTTTTTTTCTGGTGTGTTATAATTGCTATGAGATATCTGCATTACTGGATCATCTTCTCACCCAGAAGGCTCCAGACCATAAATCAGCACAACAGAAGCCAGCACGGAGTGTCAGCCACCTGAGTTAACCATTGGGTTTCAATGGGATTATTCTCAGGCTGGGTTTTGAGCATATCTTGCTGGGCAGAAGTCTTCATTCACAGCAGAAAACATTCAAAACCACTTGGTGGTACAGAGCTACCTTTTGAATGTTCATAGTATTTGTCAGTGTTTAAGACAGAAATCACAATGTCTTAACTATGTATAAATTACCTAAGTAAATAGATAATAAATCATTATATACACGTACATACCAAGAGTGAGAGCATTCTCCGATGTTTGCATACAGATGATACACACGGTCTGAAAAT